GAAAGATTGGATAGTTTCAAGGAACACTGTGATACTCCTGAGTTAAAGAACCTAATTGCAGGGCTGCGAACCAAGAGTTCTTACCTGCTACAATTATAACTACGACTACTACTCATTCAGCAATCTGAAGTCTTTGCTTGAATTTGCCATCATGTAGGAAAAAATAAAAACCTCAAACGTTTCGAATTACTCTAGGCTGGAAATTCCTGATTTTCCATGTGTTTCCAGTAAGGTTTGATTTTGAGATGATTTCCGGAAAATAAAGGGAAAAAGCAGAACTGGGGGAACTCATAAAAGCAAGTAATATGCACATAATTGCGTGAGAAAAGCTAAAACAACATTTCACAGCTGGTCAGCATAAAACTGACTTGTCGGTTTGGCTTTACCAAGAGCACCTGTATGTCTTAAATAATACACATGTACATTATTCATTCGAAGACTTTTAGACAGTATAAAATTCCTGTGTATAAGAAAAATGAAAATGTAGCTTTTCCAAAATTTTCTTTTCTTTTATTAGGTAAAACTGATTCCAAAGCATATGTTATCCATCACCACAGAGGGCCTGCTTCTAAGCAGATAGCAGGTAAAATGTTGTGAGTTTTATCAGGAATGCAGGAACGGTCCCTGGAAAAATAAAATCTCCACACTACAGGTCCCAAGGAAGTTTTGTTTGCAAGGGGCAAGGTAGAGTTGGTAGAACCCCCTTTCCTATGATCTCAGCTTTGATCAGGACTTTCTACCCACCATCAGTACAGCCTAGAGGGGAAACTGAGTTTGAATGAGTGTGTGTGTGAGCACACCCATTCTGACATGCCTGGTGTGTCTAATGTGTGGGAGATTGTGCACATGCACCAGTGTGTCAAGATCAAGATGCACGTTAGGCCCAGCCAGTGTGGCTTAGTGGTTGAGCATTGATCTATGAAGCAGGGGGTGATGATTTGGTTCCCAGTCAGGGCACATGCCCAGGTTGTGGGCTCGATCCTCAGTGTGGGGCATGCAGGAGGCAGCCAATTAATGATTCTCTCTCATCATTGATGTTTCTATCTCTCTCTCTCCCTCTCCCTTCCTCTCTGAAATCAATATATATTAAAGATGCATGTTAGACCACTGAGGAACATTAGAGGAGATACAGATGGAGGTAAAAGGCTGGAAAAGATGAGAAGGACTGTTCAGATATAGTTTCACCTTTTACAACATCAGGATTCCTATCAAAGCTAGCACAGTTCATCCATTTCCTTTTCTTATTCCCAAAGTGTTATGTTTGGTTTGGTTTGGTTTTGTAGTAAGAACCAAACACAAAATCTACCCTTAGTAGTGTTTGAAGTATACAATATAGTGCTGTTAACTGCAGGCACGATGTTGTACAGATCTTGACAACTTATTCTTCTGGCAAGACTCAAACTTTATACTCACTGAGTAACAACTCCCCACTTCCCCTGCCCCGGCCCCTGGCAACCATCATTCTACTCTCTGCCTCTGTGAGTTTGACTATTTTGTGTGTGATGACATGGTGGCCCTGCAAGATATTATAAGTGAAAAATAAGCCAGTCACAGAACAAACACTGCTTGATTGCATTTATATGAGATCCCTAAAATAACCTGTGGTTTGAGGAAAGTCTTATGAAAACTAGAATTGGCAAAGCTCAGTGACACTGGAGGAAAAGGCTGGCCCAAGGTCTCTCGGGCGGCTTGCATGGCCTCAGGTCCTGGTGGAGTGCTTGGCTCCCAGCTTCTACCATCCTCCCACTGAGGAAGATGATGGTCACGGAGCTGAAAATACTGCAAGGTCCAGGGAAGAGAAAAAAAAACCAGGTAGGGATCTTGAGAGACTGCAACTCTCCTACATGGGAGGTAAGGAGCAGGTGTTGTTTGGAGGGGAATGTTTTATTGTCTGTTACTTCCTCACTCTTCCCATTAAAATCATAGATGCGAGAGAGGAAGGAAATGATACTCTGGCAAATGGAAATTTGAGAAAATACAACCTACAAGGATGCACAAATCCTGTGGAGTGAAGCTGTACTGGAGACACACATCTTGGAGGACCTGCAGGAGCCATTCTCTTGCTTTCGTCCCTCTATACTTGTAGCTTCCGGCTCATATTCCAAGTATCTCTTGGGACAACTGGCTCCACTTCCGAACCGTGAGCTGCTCTGAACATTAATCGCGGCTTATTCGTCTTTATACGCCTTCAGAGGCCCTCTCGGAGCGCTTTGCAGCGGTCCCTCGATGGATATTTGGTTTTAAGAGGTGTTGGAGACTGAGCACCAGTCAAGGGAGGAAGAGATTTAGGTTCGGAGGAGCTGGCCACTCGTGGGCTCTGTAACCACTTCGGTCTCTACTCTCAGTTTCTCACTGGTAAGTGGAGGCAGTTGCCTTAAATAACCTCCAAGATAACTTGCCACTGTAACAGTCGGCAGCAAAAGTCTCTCTTCCTTTTGGAAAATGTCAACTTATGCCTCAGGTTTGGTCAGACACTCTGTAAACCCAGTGGGAATTCCTCATTAAATATGCACAAGTAAAACTGCTACCCGGAATAATGAAATAATAACCTAGCAATTAGTCCACTTGAACCTGATGGCTCATAGATTTTGTCGTCCTACTGTCCAAAAATAAATAAATAAATAAATAATTGCAAGCTACTTTCATTCAGTGCAAATTACTTCCTTGGACTGAAAGGCATGAATTCTTTTTGGAACATAGCAGTTCATCCCAACCCACTAGGGTTATATTTTAAAAGTATCACCAAATGTACTTCATAAAGTATCCAAATTACTTTCACAAAAAAATAAAGTTAAATCCATGTAGAAATTATCTGAATATGTAAGAATTTCTCATTATATTTATAAACTGGAAGAATTCCTTTTCCTTGTGAATATATGGTTCTATAAATATGATGTTCACATTTGGAGCTCTTTGGAGCTCTATCTGCTTCTATCATTTTCTTCGATGTATTTCTATACATTTAAATAATCTGTATGCATTATTAAATTAAATTTAGAGTTAGGCATAAAATTCAGAGACATGATTCATGTGAGAAATGTAGTGTTTTAGAAAGAACAGGAAAACGTTCACTAAGAAGAAAATTCAGTTAGAATTTCTTTACACGCTAAATAATCTCTTATATAATAAAAGCCTAATATGCTAAGTGTCCCGTCATCTGGGCCTCCATTCAACCAATCAAAGTGTAAGATGCTAATGATATGCTAAGGCCGCTCAACCACTCGCTATAACATGCACTGACCACCAGGAGGCAGATGCTCCAACTTGTAGGTTAGCTTGCTGCTGGGGTCTGGCCGATCGGGACTGAGTGGGATGGGCTGGACATGCCCCGGAGCCCTCCTGCAGTCCCTACCTGGCTGGCCCTCCCTGACCCTGATAGTGCACTGGTGGGGTCCCTCGGCCTGGCCTATGCCCTCTCACAATCTGGGCTGAGGGACCCTCCCCGCTAAGTGCACAAATTTTGTGCACCGGGCTTCTAGTTGTAATTAATAAATGTAAACCACTGTCACTTAAGCTGCCTATCAAAGTGCTCCTTTGAGTGACAATGATGAAATTGTTAAAATGACTGAAATTGTTTTAGAGATGGTGTTTAGTGTCAAATATCAAACTACTTTTCACTGGCATTGGCAGGAGAGACATTGCTTTCTCTAAGCACAAACCCACAATACTTGAAGGCTATTGGTGGCACAGAGAAGCCTGCAGAAACCTAGGTTCTCCTTCTATACTTACCCTGAATGTCTGTTTCCTCAAAATATTCAACTGGTAGTATTGGCCATGGGCAACTCACTGACTAAGGAGACAACTGAGGGGTTGGTTGATTAAAAGACAATGGCCTTCAGCAATAGCAACTTCCTCCCAGTTCTAGAGGTATTTCAGAATCTACTAGGCCCTAGTGACTAGGGGTTGTTAGGTAAACCCCCCACCCCAATGATCACTTCAATTATAAACGTGAACTAAACTCAGGGCATGTTTCACTCCCATGCCACCCAGATGCTCCAGAGGGTGCACCAGGCACAGGCCATGGGAACCATTGCTGGGCACTTCCAGGATTCCATCCTGGGGTTCATTCCCACTCGGAGGACCTCACATCAATCAGCCCAGGACCTCCTGATCCGCTCCGTGAAAAGCGATCACCTCGCTTACCAAGGATCTAGGAATACCACCAGCAGCTTGGGGTCCACTGAGGCCTCCATATCCCTGTAAGTTAAACACACAAGGAAAGACAGAAGTGTGCTAATAATACCGGATCCATTTTCCACCCATTTATTCATTTATTTGTGTGAAGAATAATGGCAGGAGGAGGATGTTCCTGCCCCTACAGTAGACCTTCTGACAGTTACCAGGTAAATGGATACAAAGTCATTGGCTTTTTTTTTCTTCCTATTAGAGCGGACAATCAGAAGAAACAAAGAAGGGACAACCAAGGCACAGTGACAATACCACTGAGGTACTAAGAAGCACTAATCTGCATCACCCTACAGCCCACCCCAACCAAGTCTTCTTTTTCTCCTGAAAGGAATTTCTGAGAATGATAGCAAGTCAGGGCCTAGGGCGATAACTAGTTGTATTAGGAGAGATAAATGCCAATAGCAGTATTGATCATTTTATTATCACTTAGGCTGAAAGAAGAAAAGTGTGGATACACATATTTAAAAAATGAGCGCAATTCCCTTCAAGAGTTAACTCCTTCTGGCCCAGCCTTCTTCAAGCAAAGCAAAAGAAGTTCCAGACATCCGGGATTAGGTGACAGATTGTGGGCACTGATGCAAAGCACGCTTGAGAAAGGGGGGAGCCCAGGGCTCGCACACAAAGGCGTGGAGTTCCCAGGCCGGCCGAGGGCGGCCCAGCTGGGGGCACAGAAGCGCTCTGGGCGCAGCGACGCGCCAGGAAGCGCCTGCGGCACTCGGGCGGCCCGGCCCCTCTGCTGGTGGCTGGGAGAAGTTAGTCACCCGGAGCCCTAACCCGGAGACTGGCGACTGTCGGGAGCCTCAGACCCGGGAATGGGGGTGGGAGGTGGGGGGTGGGAGAGGGGGGAGAAATTCGGTCCCGGGACGGCTGGGAGGAGGCGAGTGGAGCGCGGGACCAGGGGGCGCACAGGAAGCTGGACGCGGGGGGGCGCATGGGAAGCCGAAAGCCCTTTGCTGGTGGATGGAGTGGCAACGTTTAAGAGGCCGGAGCGCACGGGTGTGCAAAGGGGAAAAACTTTCGGCAGGAACCTCCTACCCAAGGCAAGAAAAGCTGGAGAGAAGGAGGCAGGGAGAGACTTGAAATGTCTCAGTAACTTTCAAAACACACCAAACACCCCTTCAGGAGATGAGGTAAGCCGAGGTTAGCCAACCCCAATTCGTTGTGAAATATCAGACGAATCCGGAGCTGCTGTGGCTTTAAATGAGGCCAAGGAAATCTTCTGTTTTTCTTACCCAAATACTTGCGCTCCCCCCGCCCCCCACCCCCCCGTCCTTACTCCCTCCTTCCACCTCGCCGGGTTCCTTCCTCCTTCCTGGTCTCCCTTTCCTCGATCACCCCCCTCGCCCGCCCTCCCCCATCTGATTAGGCGCGGACCGGGAAGGGTGGGAGTGGTGGGGGAAGCTCTCCCTTTAAGAGGCAGCTTGCAGTGACGAATTGTTGAAATTGCCATTGCAGGATGGCATGCCGCTATAAATTCATTGTTCCACCTCCTCGCATCTTCACAGCGCTCGCGCTGCTCTCGGCGCTCGCAGCGGCCGACTGGGGATGACCGCGGCCAGGAGGACACCGCATCCGAGGGGACACGGACGCGCCGCTTCGCTGGCTCGCTGCAGGCCGCCCCCGGCGTTTTTGTTTTAATTTTTTATGGCCTTTTTCTCTTTCTTTCTTCCTTTCCTCTTGGTTTCCTTCGAGTCGAAGAAAGCCACCCAATAAGCAAGAAAGTGAGCTCCGGAGCGTGGAGCCCCCGCTGCCCACGGCTCCCGGGGGCGGGAGGCGGCGCACATCAGTGGCCGGCCCGGTGGACCGCACCCTCCTTACTTTTCGTGGCTGCATTTGGGGAGGATTTGAGTCCCCCTCCTTCCTCCTTTTTCTCATATTTGCTGAATCTCCACAATCCGGCTTTTCTCCTTTTTATTTTTCCCCCCCTTTTTCCGGAGCACGAATCCAAACATTTTCCAAACCAACAAAGAAAAGTTCGCACGCTGGCACGGCAGCCCGGACGGACGGGCCGGCGCTGCGGCTGGGTCCCCCTCCCAGGACACTTGACTCAACTTGCAAGCGAGTGTGTGTGCCCCCCCCCCCCCTCCCCCCCGGCACCTTCCAGAGCGAATAACAAATACCCATAAAGTCCCCGCGGGCATCCATCCCCCGGGACCAAAAAATGACTGGTGACCAGGTGGGCGTCCCTGCCGCTGGGGGGGTTCCGTTGAGCACTGGTCGCGAAGGCCCCGCGGGAGAACCGGCAAGGAAAAACCGGGGGGCCTTGGGATTTGTCACGGCCCCCAAACCCCCCTGGTGTATGGGTATTATTTACTGTAAGGGCTGAATTCTGGACCAACACCCCCTCTGGGCCTAAGCCTAAAAGCCGGGGGAGGATGCAGAAAAATCAACAAAAATATTCCGGGGGGCAGAAAAGGGGGGTTACCCTCGGCTTC